GAGAGAGAGAGAGAGAGAGAGAGAGAGAGAGAGAGAGAGAGAGAGAGAGAAGCTCACTGAGAGGACGGAAGTCTGAAGCGGCTGACCCGCTGATGTAATCGCGAATTCGCGAATCTGCCTTGCGACGTTCGCGCTTCCGGCGTTCGCGCATAACGAGGAGGCCGGGTCAGAAAGTGCCGCGGGAATATCGTGGAACGAATCGTTGCCTGGAAGGCATTAGAGCGTGCGTTAAAGCGCACGAGCGCTCCTTCATTTTCGGCAAGCTGAATCTTTGCCTCATCCGAGCGTATTCGTGCACGACCGCGGCCGCGCGCCTCGTAGGCGTGAGAAAATCGACCCGGCCGACGTGCCGTCGACTGGCACGGATACGGACATTATAACCTATCAGAGAGTCCGGACCCGTGCACGATCCCCGGTACGAAAGTTCCTCCTATGCGAGCGACTCGACGGCGCGCTGTCGGAGGATCACCGAGCGCGAGCGCTACTGAAAATCCGGCGAAAATCTCTCTTCCGTCCGCGGCGATCGTAAAAGTAGCTGCGTCCAGTTGACGTTGCTCCGTCGCCTCTCGGGGAAAGCTCTGGTCTGTCTGTCTCTCTCTCCATTCCCACCCCTCTCTCTTTCTCTTCTTCCGTTTCTATGAAAAAGTCGATTCCGGTCGCGCCTCGTGAACTCGACAAACCCCGCGACTGACGAAGACAGCCACCGCCGAGGAGGCATGGAGAGCGATAAATACCGACGTGTCATGCGGAGCGAGAGGTCGTTTTCCCCCACATTGGAGAATAATTCGAGAAGTGCCCTCGCGAGTGGCAAGCTCAAGAGCGAGATCCTTCGCCGAAACTTGCGCGTTACGTGACTCTCTTGCCCTCGTTTCTTCTTCGCTTGATCTTTGTTTCCTCTCTTTTAATCGGAAACGATGAGATCCGACTGGTCGAGATCGCCGTCGTGAGACTCGGAGCCACGAGAAGCGCGGAGTGAAAAAGTGCGCACTTTTCAACGATTATGTAGCGAACCTCATCAACTCCGGGGCCCAAGTTCATGTGAGTAGCGCGCGCTATCACGCGAGCGAGTAAGTGCGAGTAGGTGCGAGTGAGTCCCAAGAGAGAGAATGGTGCTTGCGGGCCGCACGAGGGGGGTGAGTGACGCCGAGGAAAAGTGAAAGAAACGCGCGCGCGAGCGCGGGGAAGACGTGGGAACCTGAATTGGGAGTCGGGGTCCGGACCTTCGCAGCACGCCCGGGTATCTTTCTCCTCGCGAATGCACACACATACGCGACTCCGGTGGGCCGGCGCGTTAAACAGAAGAGCTTGGAGCATTCTCTTTCTCTCTCTCTCCCTCTCCCTCGTCGGCTCGAACCTCTCACCGCTCTCAGCGCCGACGTACTCGCGCTATGATCTCCTGAGAAGGTGAGCACGTTGTTGAGCTGCCGATCGGTTTCGGCTACTTGATCACCAGGTCGATCAGATCGAAGCCGCGAAGATGACTGTCAACGCGCGCGGATGATCCCCGTATTGAAAGCAGAAAGGGGAATTCTCATCTCGCAGATGTAGATTCGGTTGCACTAATCAAGTGGTAAGTTAACTAACAGTTAGATCATACGTCTGTCTTTGTTCTTTCCTCAAAATCAACAAAGCAGACATATGTTGTATCTGTTAGCTAGCTTACCATTCGGCTGATGCAATCAGGCCTCAGGTCCTTACTCTGAGCTCTCTTTTATCGATAAAAGTGCCTCTACATGTGCTTTTGAGCCAATCAGAAGATTTATGGGTCACATTTAGAGACTTTTATCAATGAAAGAAAATTCAGAACAAGAGCCTTAAAGTATTAATAGGTGTCACTTAAAACTTGAGATATTCAGATCTTTATTAAGGATTCAAGATTCAAGTTTTTTCATATTTTGCTTTCATAGTTAATATGAAATTAATTACATGTGTTTGGAGCAAAGACATTCTTCTTACACTTCTCCATGATAATAAAATCCCATAAAATGGTGCCCGAAATAACTATTTTTTGTATGTTAATAGCTTTCTTACGACAAATTTCACCTTCATGTTCCTCATATTCAGTATCTTTTCCTTTAGCTTACATCGCCAAGAAGGAATTTTCCATATCTTATAATTCCTCCTATTCTCTGCACTTCACCCTTCTTACTTGCACAGCACCTGTTCCACCAGTCCTTCCTTCTTCTGTATACCTTTATTTTATTCCTTATCTCTTATCCGATGACCAAGCCTTTCCTCTTCATTTCTTGCATCCTCTTCTTCCTCCATTCCTTCTGTCTTCTATTTTACTACCTATTATACGTTTCCTCTACTGATAATTTCCTCTGCATTACCATACTAATTTAAGCTTGCCTGCATTACCTACACTACTACCCTAACTGCCCGTTCCTTATGACGCCATAACCTCTATTACCTATGCACTTTTTCCGTCCTGAATCCTGTTTTTCTACCTAACGCCTTGTTTCGCCTTCACTTACACATTATCTACGCACTCATTCCTACATAATTTCCCCTATCTGACCCCCCCGTATTTAATTCAACGCACTAAAATCATTCTAAACTCACGTACCACGTTAATCAAGCATCCACACGCTTGCACGCCATCTAACCAAGTAGCCACGTTCCTCATATTTTGTTTTGACATTTTGTCGGGTATCAAAAGGTTGCTTCGCAACCTTGTCGCCGGAACGAATCCTACGGGCTCGGGTTAACGCGCCGCGAGAAGGCCTCGGAACGAAGGTAGTCGCGGCCGCCGTATGCCTTCCTTATTGCCGTTATTGACGGTATACGTATTTGACGGAGGAGGAAGTCGCGATAAGATCGAATCTCTCACGCACCCACGACCGACTTGCCACGCAACATTACCGGAATAATAAATCGGCGCGATTCGGCTCAGCTCAAGCAGACACACGCGATCGCGCGCGCGTCGTTTTGAACCGGACGAGCTACAGGCAGATCGCGGTATCGCGATTATCGATCGGCCAGCCGAAGATAACAAGATGCGACACCCACCGCGAGACTCGTTCGCCGTTAATAACACGTCGTTATTTGATTTCTCTGAATTTCTCGTCGCATATATCGAATTTTTCATTTCCTCTTATTCATTTCAAAATGTCTCTTGCTTTTTATTTATTTAACGCGTAGAATGTGTGACGTGCGTGAGACACGAACAAATATTCGATTGCTCACTAACTTTGTTCAAGAGTTCGGGAGAATTTCAAAATTGCGCAAATCTACAGATTTTGATTTTAATGCACTATTATCTTATAGTTGAGGTTTTTCTACATATTTGGAAAACAAATGTGCCCAAAAATATTGATTTTCAACGAATTTATGGTAATTCAAAGCTGCTCAACGGGTCTAGATTGCACTTTGTTTCTCAAAAATATAATTATAGGGTTAAAAGCGTTTAATTTTTCTCACTCTCTCAAACTACGGAATGAAATTTTCGTCGCCCGCCGTGTAATCTTGCAAAATATTTTTTTACACTTTCTATGATTTTCAACTAATGAGGATTCGCGCAGCAGCAAGGCTATAGCGGTATCTCCGTGCAACCGAGAAATCGCAGGAAACTCGATATACAGTTATCCGCGTCTTTTCTTTTCTCTTTGATTTTTTCGTCGCAAGGCCGAGCTAGGATGAGGCGATCAACGCGTTAACACATCAATCGCTCAGGTTCCGCGTTCGCGGATTAATACAGGGTGTCTAGTTAATACGCGATAATCCCTCTGATGATTCTTCAAATATAGTCAGTTTCAAAGAAATCAAGGCGCATACATATCAGGAATGGCTTTCGATTGACAACTTATAATTTTATTCGATAAGAAGTGTGTTAATCGATTTGCGATCGAATATACACCGGATATTATACACGCCTTAGGGAAGATTTAGGAGGGTAAGTCCAACGGGGTAAGTTGGCAAAATTGATTATCTCTACTGTTCTCTAACAGATTCCAGAATCAAGCAAGCAGAGATTTCAAAGTCATCTTTGACATGTTTAAAAATCTTGCTTGCTTAATTTTATAGCATGTTGGAAAATATTAGAATTAACCGGTTTTGCCAACTTATTCCGGTAGTCAACTAATCCCGGTCTCCCCTAATGTTCGCTAAACCCGCAATTTACAATTCACGTTTCCCAGATGGTATCGGGACAGGTGCATTGCGCGCCGCAACCGTCGATTAAAAGATAACGAAATGACATTTTTGTCGATGAATTTAATACTGTGTGACATATTGACTGTGTTACTTATTTACTCGTTCACCTTACGTCCGATCTTTCGCACGTACAGATGCCAGACTGTTCAGGCGTGCAATTTTAAATTACGACGCACGAGTATCTAGATACGATGTGTCCAACGCGCGAAACCGCCCGGAGAATGTAAATCCGTGAGTTGAGGTGCATACGATGCTCGGCGTACGTTTACAATGGGAAAAACAAGTAGTCAGTCAAAAGAAGCCGGTGGAGGAAAGTAGACCGCGGGTCGCACGAGGGAATAAATAATTTATCGCTGGCGCGAGTGTTTCTTACGAAACGGACGCGATACGCAGATACAGCATCGGCCTTCTCCCTTTTCGCGACCTCGCTTGCATCTCGTGTCCTGAGATTCACGAGCACATTGACTTTGCGAAGCCAGAAACTTTGCATTGCATCATACAGAGAAAAGAATGTTTGGTATTTATAACTATCTATGTTTGTTCAACAAAACAACACAGGATTACTCACAAGTAAACCTACCCAAAAGGTACACTCCGATTTCTTTCTAATTTGGTACAAATGTAGAAGTACAAAAAATATTTAGATCATATTTTTTCATTTTGGCCCATTTTGAGTTTCACGGGCAGTTTATAGCTTTTTAATGTTCTCATTCCTATCATCAACAAGTGTAACAAAAATGCGTAAGAAAATAAAATTGAATACAAGATATAGTTTAATAATTTTAATAAAATCGGCATAGCTAAGATACGAACCATTTTAAATTTCTTTAGCCGAGATTTCAACCGAAATATTTCAAATCTGTGCTAAATTAGTCAAAAATGATTCGAATCTCGGCCAAACCGAGAAATTATTTATATAAATAATTTTTTTCAACTTTTTACATGTTTTGTTTAAACATTGGTTTACTGATACATTTGGTTTGCTGATTATGAATATGAAGTGAAATGTATAAAATTATTTGTGTAAATAATAAAATATTTGAACAAATGTAAAAAGTTGAAAAAAATTATTTATACAAATAATTTTTCGGTTTGGGCGAGATTCGAATCATTTTTGATTAATTTAGCACAAATTTAAAATATTTCAGTTGGAATTCGGCTAAAGAAATTTAGATTGGTTCGTGTCTCAGCTATGCCGATTTTGTTAAAATTATTTAACTATATCCTGTATTCAATTTTATTTCTTATGCATTTTCGTAGGAGTGAGAACGGATTAAAAAGCTACAAACTGCCCGTGAAACTCAAAGTGAGCTAAAATGAAAATATACAACCTAAACATTTTTTGTGCTTCTACATTTGTATCAAATTAGAAAAAAATCGGAGTGTAACTTTTTGGTAGGCTTACTTGTCAGTTGAAGTGAATGAATTAAACTCGTCTTCCTTATTGACGGAAATATCCACTGGTCTCACCTCGGAATGCGCTATATCTTGATCGATTGCGTGTTAAGAGGCATAAGTGGTTCCGCATAAATTCCCCGAGGTAAAGATGTTTGTCGCTCGATTTGAATCGCGGAACTCTCGGAAATTTATTTTCCTCCAGCGCACTATTCGTGGCTTTCCACGTGCGATGCAAACGCGTGGCGCTACATTTACGAGAACTATAATGAGAGCTATAATTACAAACTAATTGGTTCTTCTCCGGTATTACGCAGCGATAATATACACTCGGCCGGCTGTGAACTAAGTGAATCACCCGTGCAAATTTTTCACGACGTCAGTTTCATTCGCGAAATGAGGCGGCAACGTTATGCAACTTTGCCGCTGCTGCACGCGCGTAAACATAAAAGCAAGATCGGAAGGAGCGGAAAAACGGCTCCGAGAAA